CGCCTCCGCCCCTCCTCCCCCACCCTCCCTCTCCCCGAACTCCAGCGCCGGTACAACGAAGACGGCTACCTCTTCCTCAAACACCTGCTTCCCCGCGCCGACGTGCTGCGGGCCCGAGAATCCTACTTCCGCATGCTCGCCCCCAGCGGCGTCTTGAAACCCTCCACTCCCCCCGTCCTCGGCCAATTCGACACTTCCAAACCCTCTTCGTCCTACCCGGGCATCGGCGCCGGTGCAACACCCAACAACGGGAAGCCAGGCGCAGATGGCACCGCTTCTCTATTCGTGGATCTAGCGCTCCAGGCGCATTATGCAGAGTGGTATAAAGAGGAGTTTTGTAAACACCCTGTGTTGAGGGATTTTGTGGCCGAATTGACGGGGTGGGGAGCGGATACGCTGAGTGTGAAGCGCAGTTTGCTGAGGAACAATACGCCGGGGAATAAGGCGATTGGCGTACATTATGATCAGATTTTTCTGAGAAAGGGCGAGGATACGAGTGTGACTGCTTGGGTGCCCATGGGAGATATTGGGTTGACGGGCGGTGGGCTGATTTATCTCGAGAATGGTAATTTGGTTTCCCCCTCTTGTTCTTTTTTTATGGGTATAGTGGCGGTTGTTGATGTGAGGCTAACGAGAGGTAGGACATCATCTTGGGAGGGAGATAGAAGAGGAATTCACGCGCAAGGCACGCGAATCAGGGTTGACGGAGGAGGAGACCAAGGATGCGTTTAACAAGAATATGATGTCTAATGGCTTGCTTGCTGATGGGCCGAAAGAGTACTCAGAGACGTTTGGGAGGAGGTGGTTGGTCACAGATTATGAAGCGGGGGATGTGGTGTTGCATACGCCTTATACTGTACGTCTGCTCACCTGCTCGGGTATGCATGTTGGATCGAAACAACTGATAGTACGCAGATCCACGCTTCGACGATGAATTACGATCCCAACGACATCATTCGAGTAGGTACGGATTTACGATTCGTGAATGGAAGTAAGCCCTGGGACAAGGTAAGTGCAGTTCATCACCAGTCAATGTGCATGTTGATAACGTAATCAAAGCGGTGGGACAAGGATTATGAATTCGATGACGGAGTTTGAGCTCGACACCCTGAGCTATGCATTTCGAGTTTTCAACTTAGGGGGGAAAGGTAAGCAAAAGGGGGTATCATTAATCTCTATTTCTCGTCAAAGTCAACCAGTACATACCACATAGATACAAATCCACGTAGCTACATGAAAGCTATGCTGCTATATTTTCAATAGATATACACGCTGAATATATACCAATCCCACCAAATCATCATCATACAGTCCCATCCATCAGCAAGCAAACTTTTCCCTCAAACCGTCGTAGTCTCAAGATAGTCCTTCAAAGCGGCGGATTCTCTGGTTCAGTAATTGCCAACGAATAGTAGTAGTCCGTCAACGCATTCATATCATCTCCAAAGTCCGTGTCAAAAGCCTCAAGTTTCTCAGCGTGCACTTCCTTGCCCCATTTCTTCAAATTAGGCACGTTAAGGGCCTCGCCCTTGAACGCAGGCTGCTGAACACACTCATAACCTAGTACACCAATATCCCAGACACCACCGCAAGCACTGCACACCAACGTCGTAGTGGCGGGATCGACAGCATTGACCGCGTTACAGCGGAAACAGGCAAAAGAGCAGCGCTCACAGAGGATGTTGGAAGTGGAGTCGGTAGCCGGGCGAGCTGGGCGTCCGCATTGTGTACATCGTGATTTACCAGGTATAATGTGTGTGGTATCAACCGTCTTCCATTGCAGACGTAGTTCATCCGGCACGCGGTCTCCACTTCTTCCTGAATCGCCCACCTCCTCGCTGGTCGTCTTGATGAGATTTTCTCGACAGGCTGCGATGTCACATTGCAGCCCACGTGCTGTCGCAAGATCAAGTTGAAGCTCGAGAGCTTGTTGACGCAGAAACGGCGCATCGACGCTCTGGTCGAATGGGCCCATGTATTGCGGTCCTTGAACTGCTTGTCGGATCGGAAAGCCGCCCATAGGTGCAAGCTGCATTTGGCCGGTACCGAGTAGATGGCGGGCCTCGGCGATTCCTGATTCGGGTACTGGCACGGTCATTTCGCCAGTCTCGTGGTCCTGAATCTCGTCTTGCTCGTGGTCTTGGTAAGAAAGATAGCGAAGCTTCTCTGCGTCCTTGGGCGTGACGTCATCTCTGCCCACCTCAAGCACATTAGCTGAGCCGTTGACTTCACCGATGATGAGCTTGCTGTAGTCGGCATTGAATGCGCCTGACATGATGCCTGAGTTTGTGGTAATGACATCCTTGATGAATGTGTCCTCCTTGGCTCTTGTGACATCCCATACCTTGACAACGCCGTCGGAAGATCCAGAGTAGAGTCTTGTAGCGTTCTCGCCCCAGGATAAGAATCTCACACCAGTATCAGTGATTTCATGTTTGACTCCTTCTTGTAACGGCATCAAGGACCGGCCGTGTGAAACAACGCGTAGAGGATCATCTGGCCATCGACCATCCCACACATAGACTCGACCATCCGTGCACCCAGCTGCAATAAGATGCTCGTCATGTGGGCACCAAATGACATCATTGATGTCCAAGGCCTTGCAGTCGAATTCCATGGGAGAGGTGAACTTGTTGAGATTATTGATGTCGTACAATCTGATACATGACCGCATTCCTCCGTTAGCTTTGCCACCTCCAGCCACACATCCAGCTGCAAAGTACGGCATCCATGAACGATTGGGGTTGAATGCAACATCAAAGACGTTTTTGCTCGATCCATGGATAGGGAGTGCGCTTTCGGCCTGGATGTCCCACAAACAAAGATCTCCAGTAGTGTCAAAACCAGTCTCTTTCAGATTAGCGCCGAACCCAGCCAGAAGGAGGCCACCATACTTGGGCTCGAACTGTATCGCGGTAGGCAGGATCTTTAAATCAGGTCGTTCATTGGCTCTAACGGACTCATAGCTGAACTTGTCAAACTTGGAAGGATCCTCTTCGTTTATTCTAAGCACCCGTATTGACCTTCGAGCGACACGAGCTGCAGTTGCTAGGACTCCAGCATTGGAGCGATTGACCGAGAGAATATCGATCGGATCCTTGACATTCAGTTTTGCACCCAGGATCGGTTGCACGACGTCGCCCTCAGTATACCATATGCCAATGTGGCTATCGTAGCCTGCTGAGTACAAATATCTGCCGCTGGTTGAAAAGGCCACAGAACTGACTGTAGAGTATAGCTTTGGGTCTTGTGATGCAAACATGGCATGGCTCGAGTTAGCACCGGCCTCGGTCCTTTCGCGCTTCCTATAGTGTTCAGCCAGTTCATGTATTGAGCCATGGATCATATTGCCGTAAAGCAAATTGTTAGGTCTGTTGTATTGCATAGAGTCTGGGTCATCTACAGCGACTGCGCCTGCCGCGAATCGCTCACCATCTGGAGCCCATGCCACAGTGTGTATGTCGCTAGAAGCGCCTGTCCAGAACGCCGATGGGCCGATTGTGTCCATGATTTGATTCTTGACTTGGTATGTAAGAGGCTTTGCAGCAGCTTGCCACCCCCTCCTTGACTGGCATCCCAATTCGCGCTGGCGTATGATTGACGTCGTAGACGGTTTTTGTGTCGAGCTCATAGAGACATCGGGCCGAGCAGCTGCAAGTCTTTGGACGTGCGAAACCTCGGGGATTTGTCCATCCTGTGCATCTTCCACAAACGCTTCGATGCTGCTTCTATCTCGACAAGGGAGACGTTGTCGCAGAACTTCCACTAGTTTGAGCATCTTAGGCTCGGAAAAACCCTTCAGAAGTTCTCGAAGTTGTCTTCGCTTTGTACTGTGTCTCAATTGCAAGGGCCTTTTGATTGAGACAATGGTCTTTTTCACAATCTTGATTTCAGCTGGGCTAAAATCCACATGAAGTAATGAGCCTTGCCATTTGCGACTCGACAGCTGATCCCAACAGAATCCAGGAGGGTTCTGCATCATCTTACGCTCTGATATGCTCAGGTATGGCACCAATCTTGATGGAGCATCACGAAAATTCTTATACAGATCCATCACCAACTTCGCGTCTCCAGCGTTGAACTCAACTTCTACTGGGTCATTATCGACAGTAAAGGCTGTATCAGGTGGAGGTGAGTCATCTTCTGGGGTTTCAGACCGTGTAGGTAAGGTGTCATTGAACATCTCTCCAAACACATGCTCGTCAGCATGCTCGTCGGTAGGATCGTCAGCAAACACGTCTCCTGCCCTGATGCGCTGTTTTGGCCATGTGTAATTAATGCGTTGCGCACGGCGTGGCCGCTCCCGAGAAAGCGCAGAATCACCACCAGAAGAATAGTCGTATTCAATTGTCTGTTGCACTGATTGTGTTTTGGGCGCGACAAATCTGTTTCCATGAATTCGCGACCAGTCTATGCTCGCCTCTGCGGCGAAGCGTGGGGGTAAGACCAAAGTCGGTGGATCTTGGGACCGATCCCTCTTGTTCAAGACTGTAGAATAGCGACTCTGGAGTGTAGTATACTCCCGGTACGGCATATCCTTGTTGTATTCTGCAGTAATTTCCGACCACTTGTATTGTTTGATTTCCTTTAGGAATATTAGTAAGTGGTCCTGAGCTGTGTCGAATGGTTTGTGAACCGTCTTGCGACGTTTTGCGCGAGTCGTGAAAGGGTCCATGGCCGGCATCGTCGACTCGGCCGTAGGCGCAGTCGGGCGGAAATGGTCGGATGCTAAGACTGATTGGTGGTTGACCAAAGCATTGCCTGTGGGTTGTTGTGATCCGGCCACGTCCGAAGTTAAAATGTTAGCTGTGGAAGCATCCTTGTCTTCTTTCCATGACAACCCAAAAGGGGCACCAAAGTAATTTGCGTTTTGCGGTGCATGGAATGAGGGCGAACTTGTTTGTTGAGCAGGAAGTGTTCTGTTTGACGTGAAAGACGGCGGGCCTGTAGGCTCTATCTTAGCCCTCTTGGCTGCCCTGTCGGCTCCAAATGGCGCATCGTAGGTGTACCCATTATGTTTTTGCGAGGACACCAGTACACCGTTGTTTTGCGACATGGTAATCGCACTTATCGGCCTCGCGACTGTCGGTCGCATGTTTTCGTGTAGTGTCTGCGCCTGTTGCCGTACTGCAGGATTTGTGGATGGGGCCTGCACATATTGTGGACTGCTTCCGGGAGGAGGTGGATAGTATACGTTTGTCGGCTTCGGTGCAGGAACGCGAGGGTTTAGTCCTGGGACGGGAGGTAAAGATACATCGTGCCTCGCAGAGTAATCTACCCCTACAGGCAACGATTGACGGCGTCTGGCATTGTATTCCTCATCGGCGTCATGGGTGAGATCAATCACTGTATGTTGCCAGTCGCTGCGCATGTTAGGTTTGCTTGTGTCCAAAGGTGTGTCAAGTGTAAAGCAGTGTTTGTGGCGCGGCATTCCTTGAAAAGGATCTGCTTATCTCATCGCAATCAGACGTACTAGCGAAGGACAGCAAGTCCATGGGAGTGAGAGCGAGAGTGAGAGCGAATGTGAAGGAGTGTGCGAGGCGCAACACTATGGAACCGCGCAACGCGTATCCCCCCGCATGCACTAGCGCCGGCTTTAGCGGCGGGCCCTTACTGAGGCTAAAGCCTCCTGTGGCGCACCTTTGACAGCTAATCACGTATCAATCAAGTCGCTTTGGCTGTTTCAGCAATGTGAAATGGATGATTGCAATTAGCATTATTTGTGCATCAGCACTAACACGTAAGTAGTACATATATATATGACTACATCCGATAGATTTATGCCAGCTCCAGCCGTGGGTGTTCATCCAAAACGCGAAGCCTGCGCACCACCTCAAAAACCCTTCTTCGCATTGTCGTAATCCACAGCCTTTTCTCCCATACCCTCGACATCATGCCTGCTGTCCTGTACTGCTAGCCCCGCAACAACGCCCTCCTCACCAGGCTCCACATCGTTGGGGACCGGTGGACCCGAGAATTCCTTTCGTCCTCGGATGAAGTACCATACCACACTAATTGTCGCGAAGCCAGCAAAGACAACACTTGCGTAATTCATCGTCGCTGCCTCAACAGGCAAGCTCACTGGCATACAGAACAGTACGACAGCCAGGCAAATCCAGGCAATCATGGCAACGTTGATCGCGTAACCGAAGCGGCCAAGGGAAAATGACGAGTTGCGGACTGCCCTCCGGCCGCGAATAACCGAGATGAGAATGGGCATGCCGTACGATGTGCTCAGGCAAATGGTAGCAACACCGGTAAAGGAGTTGAAAGCAGCAGACGAGCCAAAGTAGATGAGACCCAAAAGACAATCCACAATGGTAGAGAGGACGAGCGCCATCAGAGGAATGTCAAAACGCTTATCGACCCTGGCCCAAAGACGCGAACCAGGAATTGCACCATCGCGAGCAAAAGCATATGTGCAGCGTGATGCAGCAGTCAGCGCTCCAGTGCCGGCAAAGATGAGAATGCCGAGAATGAGGAAGAGAAGACCAAAGCCCCCGCCGGCGCTACCCGTGACGGTCTTGAAAAGGAGACCGATTGGCTGTCCATTAGCGACGTCAAGCAGCATCTTCACATCGGGCAGGACGAAGAGAATGGGAATCAAGTAAATGACACCCGTAACACCTGCAGCGGCAACCGAAAGAACAATGGCCTTGGGGACTTCGCGTGATGGATTCGAGACTTCCTCGCACATGGCCGCGACCATGCCATAGCCAGTGAGTGTGTACGCTGCTTGTAAAAGGCCGACAAAAAATGCCCATCCCGATGGCCTAAATCATGTGAATTAGAATTGCGACTAGGGCAGTATGCAGGATGCAAATAAGCACTTACCATCCGCTTTGGCTAGCGTCATAGTGCGTGAAAACAAAGTCTGCGTTTCTCTTAACGTCAGCCATGCTTAGCAGGACAACCAAGATGATGACCACACTAGCAGCCGTCCAGTAAATACAGATCTTGTTGATAATGTCCAAGTGTTTTGCGCCAAAGATGTTGATGGTCATGCAGATGAGCATAACTGCCCAGAACATGAGAACCGTCTGCCACTGATTCGGCACGAAGTCTTCATCCCAGAGCGTAATGGCAGACAGAATGAGTTGACCGCCAGAGAAGTTGATGGAGAGGGTGACAGTCCAGTTTCCGACTAGGGTCAGCCAACCAGTTACCCACGAGGCGATGGGGGCCCATTCGCGCGTCGACAGCATAGCAGACCAGTAGTAGACTCCACCAGCTGTCGGGTAGACGGCACAGATTTCAGCAAGGGAAGCGGCGATGCATAGCGAGATGAGCGAGACGAGGACCCAGCCCCAGAGAATAGTCACTGACTGGCCGTCGGTGAGCGTGATGTACATGGTAGTGCTGAGACCGAAAGGAACGGCCATGATGGCGAAGGACATGCCGAGGACGCTCAACATGGACAGGTTTCGTGGGAGTTCGGACTGGTAGCCCATCTTCGCGAGAGCAGCGTCGGCGCCTGGGTCGTTGACGGACCGCCGACGGACGCCATCTCCCTCGCCCTGGGTGATGGAGAGGCTTCTCTTGGTCATGGTGGTGGCTCGCTGTGGTGAAGTCCAATCGTAGCTCGTGATGAGCGCCTGTGCGCGGTGCTGCAATGGGATGGAATGCGACGAGATGCGACGGCTGCCAAGGTCGCCAACGATGGGTAACAAAGGACAGGGAGGCAGGGCCGCAGATATGGGTGCAGGTATGTATAAGGATACGGAATGTTGTCGCGTGCGAAAAGGCCCGCAAGTGCTCCCCGCAGCCAGGGTGGGAGATAAACGGCGTGATGCCGGGCTAGTTCTGAATCGGGTCTTCAGCTTGACATGTTCCGAAGACTAGTAAGCGGCTTGGGATGCGACGCTGCAATCGTCGTTGCTCCACAAGTGCAAAGCAGGGCGGGCCCGCCCTTGCGAGGATGCATATGCATACGAAGGAATATCAAGGCGGCGTGCTGGAGGGCATCAAGCACCAGAGATAAGACATCGCCAAAAGCCAACCAGGGCCCGGAAACGTAAAGATTGCCGTCAAGTCGTAGTCAGGAATCAGAAGGGCTAGGCGGTTGTCGTGCGTCATCTCCGCTGTCGGTGCACTTACCCCATCTTTTCGCGCCTATCGCTCCAGTCTGTGCCAGTCATCCGACGGGCCTTTTCCGTATCTTTTGTCAGAGCACCCAACAACACCCGCTATCAACATGCCCTGTGTCATTCCACCTCCAAAAGCACAAAGCCAAGATAACAGCAAAAAAATAAATCGTTATTGTACATACACCCACAACCCGGGATGCTGGCTCCCGTCTAGTGCAGGTACCGGACACAAGCGTCACGTCTTTACCCGACACATTCACACAATCCTTGCACTCATACACATACCTCTCGTAAAACCGTAAAGTCTACCTAATTCGTCTCCTCTGATCTCTCTACTTGGCCATGACATCCACATAACGGCCGCCCTTCTTCTTCTTTCCTGCTGCTGGTCCCTTCCTCGCTTGAGGCGCTCCCAGCAAATCGTCAATACTACTAGCGTTACTCATACCTGTACCAGGCCGTGATGGTGGTCCTGATGCAGCACCAAAGCTGGGTCGCGCTAGGATAGGCGGTTTAGGCCCGACAAGACCTTCTTCATCCGACTCAGCAATGCCTGGCGTCGATGCACGAGAGCCAGCACCGTGCAGTGGTGGTGGCAATGACGACGAGCGCAGGTTCGAGACGGGTGGACGCAATGCGCCTCCAGTTGGAGGCCCAGCAGATGACGGAGGTGCGGGAGCAGCGCTTCCTGAAGCGCTCCGAGCTGCCCCAGGTGGGCCAGACCGTGGAGGCGGAGGGGTGGCAGTGGGCTTGGGCGCATCTGTTGCGCCCGCCTTCTTGTTGACCCACTTTCCGAGATCAGTGTCGTAAACGAAGCTGCTCTCTTCTCCAAGCTTGGCTTTGATAGGTCCAGGCCCAGCGTTCGGGTCCTTCTTGAACCACCCAGAAAGCCAGCCTCCCTTCTTCGCCGCTGCTGCCTCCTTGTCGCGTTTTGCGTCTTCCTCCGCAGCTTTGCGAAAGGCCTCGTCTGCTTTCCTGTCTGCCTCAGACTTGGAGCTGCTGCCACCGCTGATTTTCAATGCAGAGGCACGAGCAGCCAGGTCATCGTCGTCGTCATCGTCCATGAAGGATTTCTTCTTCTTAGGTTGCTCCTCTTCCTCCTTGTCATCCTCATCGGGGTTGTAGGGCTGATATGATGGAGGTTCATATGTGCCGGACGATCCCTGCCCCTGCTCATCCGTTGCAGGTTGGGCGGGCTCGTCGAAACTCGCCTGAGGCTGATACCCGCCAAATGAAGGAGAAGGGGCTAGCCCTTCGACAGAAGACATAGGCATATAAGGACTATTGTACGAGGCCTGACGAGGGCTGAAGTCCTGACGAAGTGGGGAGTACGATTGAACCTTGCCTTGTGTGCGTGCGCTCGGTGGGCTCAACTGGTTCTGTGTAGGGCTCAATATGCCTGACGTTGGAGTCATCGGAGTGTACGAGTCCGACGCGGCTCGCATGCCAAAGCTGTCGTTTGACTCCATCGATGGCCGGCCCTGAGGCTCGTAACGAGATCGCTGTTGCTCCGAAGATGACCTTGGCGCATATGCATTTGACGGAGCGTACCTCGAGTTGGCTGGTGCTGCTGGTTGTGCAGGTACGCCGAAGCCGGACATGGTGCTATACAGGTCCACATTTGACTGCGATGGCGTGAGGGCTGGACTGCCTCCAGCAATGTTGGCAAAGGGTCCAGATTCTGTTCCGGCCGGCCTCCCCCCATCGGCTTCGTCGTCGCCTGCGATGAAACTGTTGAATTTTGAGAGCAGAGAGCTTCCAACTTTATCCATGCTGGGCTTGGAAATCCATGAAGAAGAACCATCCTTGGGCGATTGGGACAAGCGCTGGCTCAAGTCGTCTAGGGCAGTGATGAAGGCCGGGTTGTAGTATGGAGAAATCTGTGTTGTTGCCTTTATAACTGCCGCAATAGAGTCGCAGTATGCTTGTGCATCCGTCTTGTAACCATTTTCCGCTAGCTGATATGCATGTGCCAGTTTGTAGTGTTGCAAATGCGGCAGCACGTACGGTACGCTTGGTGATGATAACGACATGGCGAACTCGAACACTTCGGTCAGAAGTATCGGCTCAAGCTCAATGCCTGTTTCTAGAGGGTACCGGTGGTGGTCAGCCCCAATAAGCACAAGATCGGCTGCGATATCCTCGATGCCACCAATCTTGATGACTGAGCGGGCAAAGATGAAGCAAATGTGCGCAGCTTCGACTCGGCCATACTGAGCAAGCAGTCTTCCAAGAGACAACAGTGCCGATGCATCACCCTCGCTGCGGTTATTCAAAATCAACGCAATCGTCTCACGCCACTTGTCCAGGCCCTGGAGTGCATTCTGGGTAGCTCCAGCCCCATCTGCACGTATCATCTGAAAGCCGACACGAGCTGACGCCGGTACTAATTCATCAGTGCAATCTTCGTGGTTGCCAGCAAAGACCTCATACAATACGGCCAATGCCTGGTTATTGCGCCCGACATTTTTGACTTCTTTTCGGACAAATTCTTGGACAACTCGTTTCCATGTGTCTTTGTTGCCAGTCGAAGATAACAACATAGCATGGCCCCATAGTCGCTGGTCAACAGCGTGCCAGACTGCCTTTTCGCGGTCACCTTGAATAAGCATATTTTGCAGGTTTTCGAGGGTCCGCGGGTCAGAAGGTTCTGCTTGGATGGTTGAGGTATTGGACCTTGAGCGCCCAACTATGTCCACTCCGGTTGCATAAGAGCCGTCGGCATCTGGGACTTCTTCCTTAACAGGGGAGAATATCTTCTTAAAAGCGACCTCCGCAGGTGCACCTTCTAATCGACCATCGTGCTCAACGAGAATCTGCATGAGCTTCCATAGAAGTATTCTGTCTTCGAGGCGCTTGATGTCGTCTTCACTCATGGAATGTTCGAGTGCAGGCTCTTTAGATTGAGCATCTAGCACTTCAATCTTGCGGCCAAGCCATGCCAGTACCTCCTTCTTCTTGCTCTTTGCCTTGAGCGGCCCAGGGAACTTCGCGATATCTTCTGGCAGAGGCAATACTTCCTTGATGCTCTGAAGACGAACCTCGCCGGGGCTGGTCTTCATCATTGGCGCCGAACCACCGCCTCCATACCGAGGAATTTGCTTTGGGAAGCTCGTTACCACAGTACCTCCCAGACCCCATGTGAAGATGGGATATCCCTTCCACCTCCCAAGTGGGTCAGCTGCACGCTCATCTTCAGGTACAATGAAGTCGTAGTTGGCCGATGCCTGCTGACGGTGGGGTATGACATTGACTGTGCTTGAAGCAGATTGGGATGGCCCATAAGCCATGGCTTGGGGCATAATGCCAATCATAGATCCCCCTAGATCTGAGCTACTCACGTTACGAAGAGGCTGCTTCATCGTCGCTGTTGGAGACTGAGACTGAGAGCGTTGCGGGACGGCTGATTGAGCTGGCTGATACCTGGGCACATAGTTGTCCCTTTTGCGCGGAGATCCCACATTCGATGAAGGCGTACTGCGTGGAGGCGGAGTCTCGGATCTCCCAGACGTGGGTGGTCTCGAGCTCAGTGTTGAATCTTGTTCTCCAATCTCGGTTACCTCTCCTAATGGACTCCTGATCGGCGGACGTGGCGTACCATCGATTGACTGAGAAAGCTGGTGAGTTGGCGGGGCTTGAGGCTGAGATTCAGACTCTTGCCCGTGTTGTTGAGGCATACTATGGAAAGCTAGCGGGCTAGATGTGCGAGGCGCAAAAGGCTGGGATGGCGTTCGCGTCAAGTTGTTATGCGGCTCAGATGCGTACCGACCATGAGGTTGTCCCTGGGGTGGAGGTGCAGGCGAGTAACGAGCATTTGCGGCAGGCACGGCGGCAGGCGGGGCAGGAGAATACCGTGCATTACTTGCTGGTGCTGAAGGCGGTGGGGCGGGCGAGTATCTGTTCGTGGGAGGTGCGGGCGCGGGCTGAGGCACAGGAAGGCTGTTCGTCCGCGCGGGTACCGATGGTTGACTTGGGAACATGGGTAGCTGTTCAGGTTGCCTAAATGGGGGAGGTGTCGCAACATTGGCATTATTAGGGAGGAACTCGTTCCTCAGAGAGGACAATGACGGTGTGCGCTCTTTGGGCGGCATGTGTGGAGGTGGTGGTTGTACTGGAGGCTGGACAGGCACATTCGGCTGCGGAGTGTAGCGTCCCGACGGCCGCGGTTTGGAGGTCACAGGTAGTTCGGCAAAGAAATCACTCGAAGGCGATTTTGATGTTACAGCGGGTTTTGGTGGAGCTGTTGCTGCTGGTGGCATTCCACTTATCTGTGCCCGCATCGAGTGACCCGAGGATGGTGGAGACAGGCTAGCCGTCGACATACTCGATGAAAGAGGAGGTGGCCGTGGAAGTCCACTATTCGAAGACACACTACTACTACGTGGAGGCGGAGGGGTAGGCTGTAATGCCGGGACCGTTGCACGAGGAGCCGGTCGCTTTCGGGTGGTGACAATGTCTTC